CTGCTCCCTTGTACATAATGAGGCCAGACCGATTTGGCAGAGAGATGCATGGTGCACTGGTAGGACAAAACAAAGCCTCTAAAGACCTATGAAAGAATCAAGGGCAGTCAATTTAAAATTGGCATTGAAACTGCATTGCAGTTCGACTCAAAATAAAGGAATAATGCTTTTCCTTTGTCTACCGTTTGTTTTGCCTCACAAAGGCCAGCAAAAAAAAATGTATTCTTCCAATCAAAATTTCATACCCAGGTCCAATACCTGGTCCAACTTTCAGTCCAATTGGAGTGTCGTAATGACAAAAAGTTGTGACTTGGATATGAAACACTGGCTGAAATACCACATCTTAAATAAATCTGCTTGCTTCACTGAACCTCTTATCTCTTTGACCTTGCTTCCTCCACTTTTGTAGGTGAATGTATGCAAAATCTGAAGATTCATATAGGATGGTTCTGGGATTGAGGTCTAAATGTTATGAGAAGCTGGCACAACAGTCTGGCACATTTTCACTGAAGACATTAAAATTGAACATGAACATGATTAGGGTCTTTTAAATGCTATTGGGCACTAATGGTGTAGATCTAAGCAAGGTTATTTGACTTGTACTGTGAGTGAAGATCTAGAGGACAAAGGTTTAAAATTAACAAGTCTCAGGTGAGACCAGAGATTGGAAGGAATTATTTTTCACTGCACAGTAATGGTTATGTGGAGCATACTTCTAACAAAAGCCATTGATTCTATATTGATTAACTTCTTCAAAGAAATAAATGGATAAGTGTCTAGTTGAGAACAGTGTTGAAGGTTAAAGGCATTGGTACAGACTGAGATGAGCAAATACTCCAAAAGACAAGGTGACAAGGCTGGGGAATGTGAGAAAGTTGTCCGATGAATAATAATTGTTGGTTTGATTGCCTTTGGGGATCAGGGAGTATGTGTATAGGAATTTCTCTCGGTAGTTATAGATTGGGTGGCTGGAATTCACAATAGAGTAGAATTTGTTTGATCTGTGAAAGGAAAAGTCTGAATTCTCTTTTAATATTTTATGTTCTTAAACTAAGGCTAAATGAGACGATTTTTGGCTGCTGACAGTCCCAGATCAATCTCTAACTTACAACTACTAAAATTATTAGGTCACTGCATAAATCACAGGGTTATATGCAGTTTCAGTGATTGTTGCGGTCAGCATCTGGTTAAGACTCTATCCTGTTATTGCTGGGATTTGCAACCTGAGTCCCACCTGAGTGAGGACGGCTTTTCGAGAATGGAAATAAATGGATAGTTCTTTCACGTAGCCAGCACAGAAGAGGGCCAAATGGCCTCATCTGATGAAAAATTCTACAAACAGACCAAATTTCAAGGAGAAACCATAGTTTTAAGNAAAAAAAGTCCCACTGGCTATGGCGAGGATTAGAAACTCAGCACCAAGAATACACATCCAGTTCACATAATTGACATGCTGTTCATACCACACCAATGTAAAAGCCTGCTTTCTGTGCTTAAGGTTAAAAGAACCTGACTTTTTGATGCTGCACTAAAGTACACACAAAATGTCTGCACACACACAATTCAGCACTGACGCTGCACATCAACAAATTACATTTGGATAGTGCGTTTCACGTCAGAAAGGCATCCCAAGGTGCTGGACAGTCACGGATTTGGACCCAAGCAAGGAGCTGGGATCGGGGGGCAGAGAGGGTAGGGGTAGGAGGGTAGCCGAATGCACCATCGAAGAGGAAGGTCTTGAGACGTGCCTTGAAGGAGTCAAGGGAGGGAGCAAGACAAAGGGACTGTGGGATGGAGTTCCAAAGGGTGGGGGTAGAGATGCTGAAGGCCCGAATGTCGATGGTGGGCCAGGCCGGGTGGGGGAAGTGGAGCAGGCTGGAGCTTGCTGAGCATCTCAGTTTAGTTTATTCATGTTTCACAATTTCTCAAACTTCACCGCGTTTAAAAAAACAACAAAATTACATTTGTAAAGCGCCTTTCATGGCAGGAGGACGTCCCAAGGTGCTGAAAGAAGAAGGAAACTTCATAACATACTTCAGAATCAAGAAATCTACTTTAAAAGGTAATATTGCTACTTACAAATTAATGCACCTTCAGCAATTGGCAAACTTTCAGATCGTGCACACTTTGAAGCAAATTGTATGTTTTATTGTAGCTAATATCTTGCTATTCCCATTAGTGCCCAGTTGTACAGCTTCAATCTACTCACACACATCCCCAGTGACATACTGTGCAATAACATTTCTGCTGATGAAGATTCAACTCAATCTTATAATTAAATTCTTATAATCTTACGATAAAGCATTCCCATTATTTTGAAAAGAAAGCCATTTTTATTCAATTTATAATATCTAATTTCTTCAGTGTAAGTGCTAATCTGGAGAGACAAGACTACATTTAGTTTATATTTAAAGAAAGAAAATGTACAAAAAAAGCTCAGCATAAACCAGCCTGACGATGAATGAAACCAACAATAGAAGATTGCCAAAGTGCTCACACGCTTACAAAATTACAGAATTAAAAAGCTATTAAAGAGTACGACAATTTATCTGCATCTCTTAAAGCATCTTTTCGCACATTATAATAAGCACAACTCTCCAGGACTACATTAAAAAATCCTTTTAAACCATCCACTTAATTATGCTAACGTTAAAGTGGAAAACTGTATAATTACATTCTGATGTATTAATGCAGCCCTCTGTCAAGTCAGTCACTCATTTGTGATGTAGGTAGCACTGTGCATACAGGAGGTCTATTAGGCCACAATGTGACCTTTCATGTCCCTTCTGACTTGAAACCTACAGTGGTATGTTAAGACCGTGGATATCAGCCTTGAAATACGGAATTAAAATGGAGAACTCTAATGCTGGTATAAAGTTCAGGGACTTTTGCTTTCATCTCCTCCTTGGGGTGAGGGCTGAGAGTGAAACGAATGATCTTAGTTCAGTGAGGTTTGGAGAGAGCTAAAAGAATTTTCCACGAAAGTAAAACTGGGCAGAGACAGCCTTTAACTCGGATCTAGCTGTGAAAGTCTCAGTGAACCTCTTTGTATGAAAGCATTCAAAGCATCAAACTTGATCGCCAAGTTAGTACAAAATCAACAATTTACATTTATGTTGTGCCTCATGCATAAAAGAACTAAACACAAAATGCAGTGCTGGACACAGAGCAGGGAGATCTAAAAATACTGACCAAATGAATGACCAAAGGTTGCTGAAGGCAATGAGAGAGGTAGCAGAGACAAATGACTACGTCTGTGGAAATAAGATACTGGGGCTAACATAATGCAGAACTAAACGTTTGCCAGTGTTAGCAAATAGTGTGTCAATTAACAAGGTGAATTGTCACCATTTCAAGTCTCAAATTATAAATGTGATGGCCACAGATAATCCATGAACTGGAATCCAAATTGGTTTTGTTATCCAATTCATGCTTCATCTTATTTTTAACCACTTTATGGTTTATCAAATAAGTTTTGCTAAATCTTATCAATTGAGTCATTGAAAGTGGAACGGTTTCCAGCAAAATTTTTGTGTAATCGGCGTCATCTTTGCACTCATGTTGTAAACTGGTCACAATGCAGACTGAGAACAGCAGTTTCTTCGATCTTCAGATACACTTCACGTCCTGAGGCTTTTTTGGCATCACGATGTGTCATTTATACATTGTTTCCCAGAACACTTTTCAGCCACCATATCAATCACCAGCTTGTACTTGGAGGAAATTGGATGCAAAAGTAAGGAAACCCACAAGTACATGAAGGGTAGCTTTGATTTGTGTTTGTAAATGCTTGGAGACTAGAAGCCTCTGACAGCTGAATTGGCCTTGTATCACTTCACCTGTCCTTTGGATGAGATGTTAAACCGAGGCCCTATTTTTGGCTGTTCAGGCAGATTCAGGCAGATGTTAAAAATTCCTCAGCACTTTTCAAAACGAGAAGAAAATGTTTCCCAGTGTTCTCGTCAACAATTCCACCTCCCCCAAAAAAACACACAGGCTGTTCATTTCAATCCCCCAGCTAAAATTGATCATTCACTTCATGGCTGTTTGTGGGCACATTGCTGTGCCAAAAAGCATAAAACAATGTACAAAAGCACAAGACCCCCCCCCCCAGACCTCTCATATCATCTGAACTCTGGCACCACCTTGGCCACCTTCATTCCCCAGACTCAGGGTAGATGGCTTCCAGGTGGATGGTGGCAGATTGCTAATGTACACACCATAGTCTCGGCGATGGTGGCAGCTTTCCTCCCCTCTAGATACACTGGCTATCCCACCATGCGAGAGTCAAGCTGCTGAGAGCCTGTACCTGTGCAAGAAGGAAGTAGCAGCGGCTGTGCTGGGTGGAAGGGCCCTGTTTGCACTAGTGTGTAAGTGCCTATAAGGCCAATGTGCAGTTGTACAAAAAGTAAGTCAATTGATTTCTGGGGAGCTGGCCATGGTGCAGTTATTTTCACAGTGAGTGCCCTTGGAAAATTCCTCCATTTCCAAAATAGCCATTCTGCCCTGCCTGGGAAACACTTTGAGATGTCTCCCTCATGTGAAAGACTACACTGGCCAGTCCACACAGGAACTTGGAAGTGTACCCTGCTTTGAGCAATAACTCATCTGCAGGAGACCCGCGTTATAAGTGAACACATACTCTAGTGAGGCATTTTATAGTGAGGTACAAGTTGCCCTGTAGCTTTTTCAAGTCAAGTTCAAGAAACACTACTACAAAATACTAAAACCAGTTAGTTAAAACACTATTAATTAAGAAATACTCTCAAATATCATGGCATCATCTCTACCTCTTTCAATATGTTAATATTAAGGTTAGCCTTATTTTGTACCCAGCCAGAGTACCTTAAAGTGCTTACTAAAATAAAGTCATCCTTTCCTTAAGTCTTTACAATGTGAAAAATGCTGTTATTAACATGATCAGTGTACAAAAGACCTCTGTGTTTTGTCCTTATTTACTGTTCACAAAATGTGCCTCCAATGGTGGTCATCATACCTACCTTGCCTTTCTCCTGCTGAAGCTCTATTTGAATGTCGGTCAATTTAGCCCTGAGCTCCTCGTTGGCAGCCTGTAACGCATCTATTAGTGCCTCGGGCTTTTCGCCCTTGCCCCGTCCTTTCTTGGACATTTTTGTAAGTCGTGTTTCTCTTTACCAGGTGAAACTGCAACCTATTCAGTTCTCGCTCTCTGCCTTCACCAAGAATTCCGAAACGTCTGTGGAATATCCTCCCATTATCAGCTCCATCCTTTGGATCCTGGAGTGAACACATTTCAAATAAATCAAAAGAAAGGGATCAGTTTTGTGATTCACTGCAAAACCATAATAGCCATCACTATGCAGATACCTACGACATTTTTGCCTATGGGAGAAATTTTTTTGGGCTCAATCCTCGACTGTTTGTGGGACATTTCTATTCACAATTGGCAGCCACATTTCGCCCACAAAATGCAGTATATATTTTGTGAAGCATGCAAAACATGCAACGGATGCTCTCTCCATAGCAGCAGTTAGTAAATACTTATTAGTAAATTACTAAAGTTAGTAAATTCAGGCATAGCATAATATGCTACTACTAATTACACCTGCCACAAATACTCTACACATTCATAGCAACAGCTTGCATTTATATAGAGCCGTTCAAGGTAAAGAAATAATTTAAAGAACAAGTATATCAAGATAAGAAAGCCAGTAGCAGATGTAAAAGGGAGGTTAGGAGGAAATTTTTCATGCAGAGGGTGGTGAAATACAGAACTCAGTGTCGGAAGTTGTGTTTGGAGCACAAATCATCATCATCAAAAATCATCATTGCATTTCTGTACATACATGAAAGGTGAAGGGAATAGAGGGGAATAGGAGGGCTGGAGTATAAACACTGGCAGAGATGAGTTGGACCAAATGGCCTGTTTGAACCCTGTATCATTCTATGCAATTCTACATTTATAACATGTGGCCACTTATTTAATGAAAAACTCCTCGATATAGACGGAAAGGGCCTGTGGATCACATATCGATCCAACATAACAAAAATTCTCATTTACTGTAGTGTTTCCAATGAATGAATGCCAAGACTTTTGCTCCATGTTGCATTGACAATGAGACCTGATTGCAATTTATAAAACTGCTCATTTAATGTTGTAATCCAGTCTAACTGCGCCCACGTAATCTTGGCTTTGTATTTACAATCTGTCAGTTGTTTTGTGTAATTTAACTAATTTTAAGGATTAGGCACGGAATTGAGCAAACTTTGCAAAAATCCTTCCTAATACCATCCAAATTCTTTCTAATGCTTTTACATGCCAATGGTGCCCTTCCCCCTCTAGAGCGGAAACATCTCTTGTGTATCACCACGTAAATCAAAATCAAAAGCAAGGGAACCTCACAATAACATGGATCCAATGTTTCAGTGGCTGGTTTCAGTGAACCGCATAACTGCTAACATCACTTTCTGTATGTTGTGCACATGTCCGTTATGCCCAGGAAGGGCAACAAACCTGATTTCATTTGCGAATGACAGTGGATAGTCCTGCCCAATAGTATGTGGCCAACCTCCTCCTGATCACACAGCCCAAACACGTTCTAGTATGTACTACTGTGTAAATCCTCTTCAAAGAAATGTAAACTCTGCATGTTTATGTAGCAAAAACTGTCGTCAGTACCCACCCGTTCCACACCCCCACCACACCCCCTCAGAAATGCACTAAATGAGACGAAAGGATAAGTGTCAGTGGTATTTAAAAGATGTTAATATCTTTTAAATGAGGACCTGGGCGTAAGTTTCCATACTCCACCCACCTCTGTTTACCTAGCAGTAAGTAAGTACAGGTTTATTAGTCAATTGGTAGATCACTTTCCAGGGGTAATAATCCCTTCAAAAAAAAGTGTGGTCACTCAATTCATGACTGTTTGTGGGATTGGCACAATTGAATGCTGCGTTTTGCCCACAAAATTCACTTTACAGTATATACTGTGAAGCGCTTTGAGACATCTTAACAACATGATAAGGCACTATATCAATCGCAAGGTATATTATTATTAAGAAAACATAGAAATCTATCACACATCTGGAGGACATCCTGCCCATTGTATTAATGTTGATGTTCACTTTAAACCATGCATCCTAAGGTACTGCAGCGAGCTTGGCAGATGAACAAAAGGCTTACACGTTTTATAGGGAGGGTGCAGCACAAGACTACCCTTAGAAACTGCAAAGAGTGCAGTAAAGGAGCTCTTAATCCAAGCATGAATAGATGCAGTGTTGTAAATCATTGATAATTTACACACGGTAGGCCAGAAACCAGTGAATAGATGCTTGCATCAATGAGATATACCCAGGCTGGAAGGGAGTTTCCAAGCTTTGGCAGTTTGTGGGCTGGTGTTTCTTAAATCAGATCACAAACAGGTTGTTTTTTGTCAGGTCACACGTATGCTGCATTGCTCAAATAGGCATCACAGTGTAAACGGGCACAGATAATCAGCATATTGGGTCTATCTATGCCTGCTGTGGTTACTAACCAAACAAACTCCATCACAGTGCTGTACTTTGTCTCTGTATCAGTGTCTGAATTCCTCTTGTGCTCAAGGATCTGAAGAGCAGCCCATTAATATTTATTTTCAGTGTATAATGGCTGTGGTATAAGCCGCACTTATAGATGATGGTTGTGATAAGGGGGCAACGCTGCATGACCCCCCCTTCCAGTGGAACAAAAGGTCCTCGATATTACACTTAGCGTAATTTTTGTGTATTCCTGGCAATATGGAGAATAGTTGGCATTTGCAGAGGGTAATCATTCTTTTTTTAAAAAAACCCTTGCAACATAATGTGGATCCAAGAGCAGAGGTAGCTGTAGTTTAACCAATACAGTTAACTTCCTTTTCTGAAACTCTTTGCATTGAGAGTTCAGTGCCCACTGATTAGAGACTTTTCTCAGCAATGCATGGACATGGGCAGGCTGGCTGCTCCACGGGTTCAGGGTAATTTGCTCCGAGGCTCCATTCCACTCCAGTTTGCTGCTGGGTTAAGTGATCGGAAGGGTCACTCGAAAATGGCCCAGGACGGGGAGGTAAGAGATCATGCTATGATTCCTTGGGATTGTATAAATGGTTCCTTGGGATGTCCTCCTGACGTGAAAGGTGCTATACAAATGTAATTTGTTGATTCGTTTTGCTCACAAAATACAATTAATCGACTTTACAGTATATCCTGTGAAGCACTTTGAGACTCTCAACGACGCGAAAAGGCGCTATAGCAAATGCAAGGATAATTATTTATTATTATTATCATCATTATTATAATCTTTGCAGATGATACAGAGTTGTTTTCACATCATCAAACGTCTCAAAGCTCTGCTTTACAGGATTTTACTGTACTGAGTAAAGTGTATTGGAGGAAAGGAGGAGAAATGGGCTCGACATAAGAAGTTATGATGCCACTGATGCAAAAGCCAATAAATTGCATTTCATGGCATTGCTCTTAACGTCTGGGGATAAGTTACTCAGTGACAAAAAGTTATCACAACCTTTCCATCATTCACATCGCTCGTACAAACACCAGGCAACTAAATCCCCGAATTTCCAAAATTGTTTTAGTGTGTGTAGAAAACATTATTTAAAGAAGCCACTATCTATATGAAATGCAAATGTAATTATTGTTATCTGACCGAACCTGCTATAGAGAATTGTTCTGCCTACTATTATTGAGCTAGATATCAGCCTGGCTCAGTTGCTAACGCTCTTGCCTCTGAGTTAGGAGGTTGTGGGCTCAAGTCCTGTGGTAGGACTATGAGCTCTAGACTGCCACCTCAGTGGAATGCAGGCCAGGCATTCCACTGTCAAGGGTGGCATCCTTTGGATAAGTTGTTAAACTTTTACAGTTGAACGTTAAAGATCCAATGGCACAATTCCAAAAGAAGGAAGTTTTTTCCGGTATTCTGCCCAACAACTCCCAAGATAAAATTGTTAATTTTCTCAGGATTATTTGTAGGACATTGCCATGTGCAACCTGGCCTCTGGGTTCAATTACAGTCACATTTTAAGGTAAAATAAAATTAAAATAAAATGAAGTGCTTTGGAGACACTTGATCTGAAAGACGCAATATATAACAAATACAAGGATTAATATTAAGACACTTCTGTGCTAAATATGTATATTGTATTTACCATGGAGCTATAAAAAGGTATTTTCTACAATTTACAATTATGCAAATGCATGCTTTAGCAGCCAGAAATGAATTATTCAACCTTCTTTTTAATGAATATGATTTTGTTTCTATCCATGGCAATTGCTGTAAATTAGTCTACAAATCTCAATTTACCCAGAAGATATGTTTTGGAGAGTCTGTTACAAGATTTAGTTAAGGATCTTATCAAACTAAGAATGCACCACATGATCACCAACAAATGTAACTTTTTTATATGCTCATTGTAATCCCTGGGTAAAAACAGCATAGAAAGCAACAGACGTCACAATATTGACTGGCAAGCTTTCCCACTGCTTATCCAGCTTGAACCACTCTACCCTTAAGGGCTTTGGCTTGCAGAGTTAACAGGTGCAGATGAGAAGAATCCCTGTCCCTAGTGACTGATCTGCCCCTCTAAGTCCTGCTGCTGAGCTAGGCTGGCTAGCCAGTCATCAGTCCTGGAGTACTACGGACCCGCCTAGCTCAGAAAGCCAGAATACCAAGACTGTCACATAGGTCGGACTCAATTCTGCCATTCTGTTGCCAAACACATCAGCTTGGAGTCAACTCAGCTTCAAGGAGACTCTGCTTACCTACCCCCATGGAAGATAGTCACAAATTGGTAATTTGCTATCCGATAAGCAAGGGTTTCAGCCCTCACTAAGTGGGTAGCAGGTACCAGATACCTGCATTTCCCTGGGAAACTGCACAGCTCAGCATGAAATACATGATACCATTGCCACTATCCTCCTGCCCACAATTCAAACACACAACCCTACTCATTGAGCAATACGTCCACAAGTTGGAAGTGCAAAGCATGAGCAGCAGATGCTTATTTCTCTGCATATCAATCAAGGTGGATACCAAGTAATATCTCTGGTAAGTTTTGTGCTAATACAACCAGAATAGCAAAAGATTCACTCTATGCAGTGTTCTGTCACATGTATGTTAATCATGGAGCGTAATATTATTCAAATATGATTTTAAAATGTTTGTTATTATCTTGTATTTGAAAAATAAATTGACCTTCAAAGATCAAACCATTAATCCTACTGTAGATATTTCAATGATTCTCTCT